AGAGGGAACAAGAGGAGATACAATTGTTCATTAAGGGCATGCCGCTACTTCCCATGAGATGATCTCGCGTAGTGTAAGAATCTTGACGGTCAATGCGAATGAAAGTGGTGAGGGCGAGTGCACAGCGCACCCCCCAGGCACGTCAATTCATTCGCCAGTTCGTCAACCAACAGTCTCAGCTAAGCATAACAAGCTAACGAGTCGCACCGATAGACGGTAATCCATGATACAGCCGAAACAAGATCGTAAGAGAATACAGGAATACTCGAGGTATGAATAGGTAGTCTTCTGATAAAGATCGGTCTCACTCGCTAGGATAACAGAACGCGAAAGCGCTAGAAATATAACGAATGAGTGGAAGGTGTAGTCAAATTGAAGGTGTTTCACAAGCTTCTCGCTAAAGCATATCAACCTCATTTAATTGGGCGCGGTGTGCTCTAAATATTCAAAGGATTCATTAAAGCTTGATGGAGATGTTGAAGAAGCTTTGAATCCCTTTGGATTATTTTATCCAAACACGAGCACGGCCTCACTTCCTGGTAGTTGATATTTATACAAGGAGGTAATTTTGTGAACCCAGCTGACGCGTGGGAATTCACCAGGAAGGTGAGCACGGCGGTTACGCAGGAATTAACACCTAATGGTGAACATACGGCAGCCGCGCGGTAGACACAGTGACAAGCACGGCGAGCGTAGTCCCGAGCCCCAAACGTGTTTTCGATAGTTTTAAGCGGTTTTCGCAGGATTTATCTATTCCAGGGGTTCCCAACTGACTTAATATCATCCATAAATGTAGTTAGGCAGTTATTAACTGAAGATAAGGCCAAATCGCTCATTCTCATCCGAAATACCCGCATCCGAAGCCCTATAAATATGAGCTTAGGGCATCTATTTTACTGATCTGGAAATCAAGAGGGCGAAGTGCTGTCAAATTGGAGAGTGGAACACAAATTTCTAAAGAGTTAGCAGATCTTTGCAGAGTTCCTTAACAAAAAGAGAGTTCGAGAGATCTGAGACTTGTTGCCCCCTTATTCCTCCGGATTTAAGCTTAGTCTTAATCTAGAGAAGAGCCGTAATCTCGCTTGGTCGAGATTATCGCTGCTGTGATTACTTCCTTCGTGAAGTAAGAGCATTGATCATCAATCTTCTGCTAACCGGATCTGATCCGTAGGCTGTCCACGGATAAATCCCGGCACGGACAACGATCCCGCACAAGCAATAGGAGTTAGAACTACTATTGTGTGTAGTTTGAACGAAAGTTATGATTTTTTTTAATTTAAAGTCTTATAAAAAGGCTATTTGTTCGAGTTTATTGTAAACGTTTAAAGTTGTAATTGATTCTTCAATGAGATCAACTCTCCACCCAAACACAGATACTAAACATGCTTTAGTTTCGATTTGATATATAACATGATTATTGTGTTATAAGATCACCGCATAGGCTAGATGAAATAAATAAATTTTTTTACTTAAACCATGGAAATATTAGCAACCACTAATGTGATATGAAATCTTAAATATACTAAACAACATAGATAGAGTTAGCTCTGATACCACATGTTAGATATTGAAATCTAAATAAATACAGAGCACGCAACAGAAATAAAGTAAACTGAAAGATACCTCCAGTCATTGTTGTCTAGATAGACCTATAACTTAGAAAATTAGATCGAAAGTAGAGATAATCTAAGTATATACATAAACAAAGAACAAAATTTAGATCACCGTTAGAATACATAAAATAGAGCAAACATAAAGAGTTTCTAGCCTATGCCTTACTGAAAAGCCTTAAATCTGATGGAGGAACTATGACTGTATTTATAGACTAGGTTAGGACCCTTCTGTTATAACTAGAATTCTTAAAAGAAAAGACTTCTTAAAACAGTTTCCATCCATCAGGGGAAACTACATAGATATGATCTTATCTAAATCCACTATAACTCTTTATAGTATAAGAATTTAAATATCATATACATAGATATGATCTTATCTAAATCCACTATAACTCTTTATAGTATAAGAATTTAAATATCATAACAAATTAAGATAATTTGTATCTCTAAATCCACTATAACTCTTTATAGTATAAGAATTTAAATATCATAACAAATTAAGATAATTTGTATCGAGTGGGCCAAAACTCTATCCACATACAACATTCACATCCAACTTTAGCGGATATGAATATAAATATTCTTTACCGATACATAGTCATATTTGTATCCGTGATTGGCAAGTGGATATAGACATTTCAAGTGTCACATCCAAGCCATATCTGAACCGTGTACACTCCTAGTGCTAACCTATTTACGTGTTCGTATGTTACCCCACAATAACAAAAGTCTAAAATTCAAATGATATTGAAATATGTTATATTATCCCAAGAAAAAAAGAAGTTATAAATTTTAAGTTCCCTGCAACAAGACAACCAAACAAAAAAAAAAAAATCTAAAGAAACAGGACTAAATGACGCTTAAATAACTTATTATTTAACCATATTTACAATTAAATATTTTAAGTTGTAAAAAATAGCACTTTGATACCCTAAGTTATAAAAAGGTAGCACTTAAATATCTTAAATTGTAAAACACCGACACTTAAATATTCTATTGTTTCACCACTTTTACATGTAAATATTCTAAGTTATAAAAAGTAGTACTTTAATACACTAAGTTATAAAAAAATGGCATTTTAATTTTAATACTCTAAGTTACAAGATAGAATCACTTTAATACTTTTCGTTAGTTGTTAGGATATGTTCTTAGAAATATTTTTATGATAACTATCAAAAGATACTAAATGTATTATTTTTTTTACAATTTTAAATATTAAAATATTATTACTTATAAGTATTTAAAGCGTAAACACTATGAAACTCAATAGGGTACTTTTAAGCCATTTAGCACGTCATGGATTGGGAACCGAACTTAAAATAGCAAAAGCAGTCCCACGTCTCTTTCCCACTCCTCCCCAGCTTCTTTCCGCTATTTTAAAGTAAATTCCCTCTTTAATTAATTAAAATAACAATCAACTGAAAATTTACCTTTTCTTTATTCTTTTAAAAAAAAGCCAAATGAATGAAACTGCAAAAAATTGGCAAATATTAATACTGGGACCCTATAGGAGTCGTGGACCCAACGTAGCAGTGACCCAATAGTCCACAAACATTTTCCCACCTTTAAAATAATAATTTAAAAAGTAAAAAATAAATAGGAAAAAAGAGGAAACAAAAGCTGACGCTGACACAGTCCCATCAGCGCCGAAGCAGAGCTCGGGAGAAATTGAAAAGAGAACTTGGCCCTAGCTGGTCTCTCTCTCTCTCTCTCTCTCTCTCCCTCCCTCTCTCTTCTCCCCCCCNCCGGCGAAGCACTCTTACGGCGACGTCTTCAGATGCGCCTCCAAATCTAATGACTATGCTGAGATCTTTGGAGGGATCTCGGTCGCCTGCTCCATCCCCTTCCTTGATCTCCCGCCTCCGGCTGAGGATTTCGAGGGAGTTGGCGAGTTGATCGATTACCCGGAGATTTTTGGGGGTTTTAGCGGAGGAGATTTTGGTGTTGATTACGAGGAGTTGTTCAAAGGGAAGAGGACGACGGGTGAGAGCTCAGCTTCTTCGAATGGGAGGTTTGCTTCATTTTCTTGCTCTTCTTAATTCCCTTTATTTATGTTGGTTTTTGTTTAGGATTTCAGTTAGTTGGATTTGGTGGGTGTTAGGTGATTTTTCTTGTGGTACAAGTTTTTTTTGTTAGTGAAAAGTGGAATAAATGGGATTTTGAAGAGTGGGGTACTTGCACAAAAGTGAGCTTTTGTCAAAAGTTAGATTTTGAATTTTGGTTGGAGTTGTATTTGAGTATTTGAGTATACTGGAAAGCGAAAGAGCCTAGGAACCTATAAAGATTGAACATCTCTAGCTATTTTTGGCTAAATCTTTTGGGATGACCTCCTTTTGTACAGCTAGCTAGTTCTTAACTACATTGTTCTTTATGAAGTTTGTATTGCATGGTGGAAATAATTAGGAGAAGTACTAAACTAAAGTTTGAGACTTGAGGTGTTATTTGGCAATGAGCTCAATGAGAGATTAAGGGTAGATAACCCCTCCTTAACTGGCCAAAGGCAAAAACATAGACAGTGAATAAAAGTGAGTTTTTACCCTTCGTAGTTTACTATATACAAACATCACAAATGTTTAAGAGATTTAGATAACCCAACTAGACGGCTTATAAGGATTAAAACCAAGTGAAATGTTTTTTCTTTTTTTTGGTGACAAGGAACTTTGGCATGGCCATTGGCCTGTCAGATATCAAGAAAGATCCCGAGCACAAGCAACACCCACTACAAGGAAGCCGTATCCCCACTACTGGGGGACCCACCACCACATGAATGGTCACCTATAGGGCCCCTTAGCCCAAACCTAACGTCCAAAGCCTGACAGAACTAGCCAAATAAACCTTGAATCCATGGGTCCTACCTTAATCCCCCCATGTCTCCTGTGAACAAGTGGGCCTCGACCCTAGTCACTCCGACTATTGGTGTGACCCATTAAGATGCCAGCATACCACCTGGGTTATCCATGCTGGGTTATCTGTACCACCCGGGTTGAAATGTTTACTAATCCATGGCAAATTAAGAAATAACCACATTAAAGAAAATGGTGACCACCTGGCCTCAACTCCAATCACTCTGACTATCGGTGTGACTCACCAAGATGCCAGCATACCACCTGGGTTATCCATGCTGGGTTGTTCATATTGCCCAGGTTGAAATGTTTGCTAATCCTTGACAGATTAAGAAATAACCACGTTAAAGAAAATGGTGACCATCTGGCCTCAACCCCAGTCACTCCAACTATCGGTATGACCCACCAAGATGCCAGCATACCACCTAGGTTATCCATGCTGGGTTGTCCATATCACCCGAGTTAAAAATGTTTGCTAATCCTTGACAGATTAAGAAATAACCACGTTAAAGAATATGGTGACTATTCGTCCTCTTAGAAAACAATACGGAGGAGTTCAAAAGTTAATACGAGTCTTACCTCTTATCATATGTTAACCGATCCTTCGATTTTCTTTCAAAAAAGTTGGTACGATTCAACTTGAGTCGTGTATTTTAGATCCTTCACGACAATGATTTGAGGTATTTGATAAATTTTTTTTGTAAAAATATTCCTTTCATTGAGGATATAACTTTAAGCTAAACAATACAACTGCCATTTCTTCCAAGAAATAGATTCCAAATAAGGTGAGTGAAATAAATGAAAACAAGAGCTTCTCATTAAATTTGTGAAAATGATGACCTATCCATAGGTACAAACAAATTATAATGTTTTACTTCAACCTGAGATATAAACAAAGGCGAGGTCACTCTTCCTAAAGTTTCTCAAGGAAGGCATGAAAACATAAAGGATTTGTGTGAACATGAAGTAGATATCATGTTTCCATATCCTTATGATTTCTAATTTGTATGTCTCGATGATAAACTAGGAAAACACCTATGCCAAAATTGGTTCACATAGGGATGAACATATTAATTCACATGAACACGGACATACAATAACGAAAGGGGTTATTTATGTTCAAGCGAGTTTCAACAATACTATTACACATCAAAAGGGGTTATTGTACTATTACACATGACACATGTCAGATTATTAATGTGTTTGCTTAAATTCCTCATCATTAAACCTTACCAAATGAAAGCTAAAGGTTTTTTTTAGTTCACTTTCAACCACTATTTTAAATATCCCGACATGACCCGATATATCCCCTGATATATCCTTTTACAGGGCTTGTCGCAACCGATATGATCTTTAAATATCCTTTATGCTTTTTGGGTACTTCGGGCGATATATCCCGGATACGATCGAGATATCAGCCAATATGTTGGCTGATATATGCTTTATATGACTTGTCGCAAAATAATATACCGCATTTGGAAATTTTTGGGTGAGGTATCATAATTTTCCTATTATATCAAATGACATTTTCGCCTAAAAAATTAGACCATATTTGTACTTTTATTTGTTTTACAAGGCTGATTAGTGATCTTAAACATATATTTTTACATTTTGTATGCTTGCATTTCCGTAAGTATGTAAAGATTACATTTTAGTACATTATTAATTATACTATATATGAAAACATTCGTTATAGCATTCCGATATTTACCACATATCCCTGATATATCCCGATATCTGCAATTCAATATGAATTTTGGCCATCCTATATTTTCCCGATATCTAACATTTAAAACCTTGCTTTTAAGACCGGTGCAAGCTATTGTAATGAAAGTGCATTGCTCTGGTACCTAATTTGACGTTTGATAATTGGGTAAGGCTGAATCGTCAAGTTAAATCTTCCTGGCTTTGGCTGTAACATAGGGTGTTTGTTATTCTCTTTTGGTAGTCTTAAAGATCAAGAGAGGGGGATTGCTCACTACTCTTGGGCTTTTGGGCTATTGACTCAATAATGTTTTTCGCTTGATTTGTAAGAGCTCATTCTAAGTTTGTGATTTTCTCGGTGGCCTTTCAATCTATCCTTAATTTACAATGCATAATCCTCCTAAACTCTCCAGGTCAAACATTTGGTGTTTTCAGACAAAAGGTGGTTTGTCCAATTTCATTTTTTTTGTCATTCTAGGAATCTGATGAAACTGTAAGTACTTTGCCATGTACTCTTCCTGTTCCTCTAAACATACGCTTCACAGATGTCTCTCTCGTGTGCTTGAGGTTTCTGAAGTGCATAGTTTAATCACCTAAAGTCCTTTGGGGTTTAAGTGAAGGGGGCATTTCTGTCGAAAATGAGGTGTTGCTTTAAGGATAACGAGAAGAGATGGAGAACTCAAGTTGTTTCAATGGGAGGGTTGCCCTTGTTATCAGCTTATTTTCTTAATTTCTCCCATTTTATTGTACTAGATTTCATATTTTAATTTCAGTCATGCATTTTAAACTGTATGACTTGAAAGTGATTAGCTTCTTTGCTTGTGATTAAACTGTATGCTTTTAAACTACATGCTTTGTATATTACCCTCGTCTTTACCCCCATAAGAAACACAAACAAATCTGAAAATTTCAAATATAAAAGAAAATAAATAATAATAATAAAGATGAGAGGGATGGGGCTGCCACCATGCTGGCAGCCAACGAGATGGTGGTACCCTTGATGATGTCTGTGTAGGTCTTTGTCTTGGGTGAGGACAACAAAGTTGGTGCTGGATACGTTGATGTGCTGCTTGCCTTGGACAAGGATGGAAGTGCGGTGAGACAACCATTGTCAACTATCAAAAACCCAAGCCATTGTCAGAGATGGAAGGAGTGAAGGTTTAGTGAGAGAGGAGAGTCCAATTGAAAGATCCAAACTCTAGACCACCTGATCAAATCTAATGAGTATAGGGTTTTTATGATATAAGACCTCCGAATCTTCTTTATTTCTTTATTATACCCCCTAAATCTTGATATTTGTACATTAGACCTCCGGGTCCTTCAAGCAAAAGACCCCATGGTTAGTTTTTAACTTTAATTTGTTAAATTGCTATGTAAATGTTAGGGAAATTTGTTTTAACTGACCATTTTAGAGGATTTTAAATATTTTAAATAGGGTTGTGTTCTTCTCCAACCTCACACACATACACACACACACTCTCTCTCTCTCTCTCTCTCTCTCTCTCTCTTCATCTTTCTCCTATGATCTACTTCTTTTCTTTTTGGTTCTTAAAGTCTTTTAGGGTTTGAGATTTGAGAGGAAAATAAAGATAGATTGGGAAACATAGAGAAGGAGAAGGAACAAAGGTAGAGGAATCATTTTGGTTCTTAAAGTCTATTAGGGTTTGAGATTTGAGAGGAAAATAGAGATAGACTGAGAAACATAGAGAAGGAGAAGGAACAAAGGTAGAGGAATCATTTTGGGTTTCCAAGGGTTACTATTGTTGTATTTTACTCTACATGGTTAAGAGCTAACCATGCTTAGATAAAAAATTTGGATGGTAATCCTCCATGGTGTCCTTGTTAAAACAACTTTAAAAGTATTTTAGGGTCTTAACTAGAAATACCAATATTTGAGGTTCTAATATTGAAATAAAAAGCTCTAGGGGTCTTATATCATAAAAACTCATAAGTACAACAAGGTAGTTTATTTAAATCTTTAAGAAATAGATGAACTAAAGAGAACTTACGGATATACCAAAAGTATTTCTGAATATAAACTTAAGGGGTAAGTTGAGCATCTAATTGTGAATTGGAGGGTAATTTGGCTAGTCTAATAAGGGTAGTTTAGTCATGTCTTACATTGTTCCTCCATCTTTTAACTCAAGTTAGTTCTGATCCACTCAAATTCTTAATGGCTTTTCTCATGGAACTGGGTTCATTGTTAAATTCAAATAGTTGTTCTGTTTGGTGAGGCAGTCTTGCAACTGCTTTTTAGAAGAATAGGTTGTTCCTTATGGTGACAGTCATTATTTTGCTATGCTTCATTTTCTAACTCTGTCATGCCGTCTATATCCAGTTGAATTCGTCTTGTTTTGCTTAAATGAAAGCTGATTTTAGAGATGTTCCATCTTTTCTTAACGTGAAATTTTAGTCAGTATATGAGGTGCCTCATTTTCAGCTAGTGTCTTTTTATATATATAAATGAGTGGATAGAAACTTTGGTGGACAAAGGCTTGGTGTCCACTTAAGTTGACATAAGATCACCTCTATATATTGTAAGGCTCCTATAAACTTAAGTGGATAGGAACCATTGTCCACTAAATTTTTATTTCTTTGATTTTTCTTTGAGATTTGTGCTAGCATGTGATACAAATCAACGCACACATCTCAAAGACACCCTTCGTGTCTAGCACGAATCTCAAAGCAAAATCAAAGGCTAAAAAGTTGGTGGACAACAAGCTCCTATACACTTAATTTTATAGGAGCTTTACTCTCATACACACGCGCACACACATACATACATACATAGGGAATGATGGGTATGAGTTGGCGGCTTATTATGCGAAATGAGCTACCAAGAGATAGAGTGATGAGGTTCACGCCTTTTGATGTAAGTAGCAAGGTGGGCCTCAACACATGACTATTTCTTGGTAGCTCATTTAGCAAAATGAGTCGTCATTTCATAACCATTATTTCCACACACACATACAGTCTTTCTGAATTCCATGTGGAAGTTACTGCAAAACTTGCTGATTTTGCATATAAGAACTTCTGTTGAATGTTTGTCATTTTCTTGATACAGAATCCGTACAGATGTAATGTTTGGCCAGCATGCAGAAGTTTCAGACATCTCACCTGAAGTTGCCACTAATGATCATGTGGGTTGTTCAAATGAGAATAAGTTTTTATCAAGTTCGGATCATTTGGATGATGGCCCAAAGCAATACAGTATGCTGTATCATAGAACAAGCCGTGGTAGTGTGGATGATGTAATTAATGGGAAGATACACATAACTGAACTTCATGTTGTTCCTGAGTATACCCATATGATTAATTCATGTCTCTCACAGGATGTAAAAAGCAACACTTCTCCAAACACCCAAACCAAGGATCTCCTTTCTAATGTAAACCATAATGGGCGATCAGGTGATTTAGAACAAAACGTAGTTCCACCCACCTCTCCTACTGATAATGCAAAGAGTCATGGAGCTGATTGGGGAACACATCACAAAGAATATAGCTCTGGGCATACTGCACCTGAAGATGATCCTGTGAACTTGAAGCATCATTCACGGTTTTCTAGCAATTATTCTGCATCTAGTGGCGATATGCCTCATTCTGATGTTCCATATGTAAGTGTGTCTGACATCAATCTCCGAACACGACCATCTAAAGTTCCACCGCCTTCAAGAGCGCCTCCCAAATTAGTTAGTAAGCAAGAAAATATTAGGAGTCATCAAATACGCTACAGGGTTGGTGCTTCCAAAAACCATGGTGTTCAGGGGGTTGCTAAGGACGGTTCCTCTTGTTTCCTTGATGTGGAGATTGATGCTAGTTCAGCTGCTGCAGCTTCTGCTGCTGCTATGAAAGAGGCAATGGAGCAAGCCCAGGCTAGATTAAAGAGTGCAAAGGAATTAATGGAGAGAAAGCGAGATAATCTTCAGAGTCATAAGCTGGGGCACAAAGAAGGTGCTAATTATGCTGAAAGGATAGAGGTTAAAGCTTCTGTAGAAGGAATAGATTTGAAGGATATGATGGTGAAGAAACCCTTGCAAACAGCAGACAAAGGAATGAAAGAATATACTCAGGCTGACATGCAAAAATTCATAAAAGCCGCCAAAACAGCACCAAATCACAATGAAAAGGAGAGACATGTTATAGCTGATCACCACTCAAGGGAAGAGAATGGATTTAATTCATCTCATGTGGGCTATAAATCAGAAGGGGTATCTGGGGAATGGAAAACTGAGGAGCAATTCTATGAGCTGATAAACAATGAGAAAAAGTTCCGAGCAATCAAAGAGGCCTCCAGGCAGGAGTTTGATGAGAAGAAACCAGAGACGACTGTAAAAGTCAATGAAGACATGGAAAACTATACTGAAAAGGATGGACTAGCCAATGAGATTAATAGGACAGTAATGCTGCAGAAAACTGATGAAACTATTCAGAGCAATGCGATTGGTAACAATTCAAAAGGCTCTAATATTGATCAAAAGGTGGAAAGCAGAAATACTCCTGAAATAGTTCTCGAAACATGTATAGTGAAAGAAATCAAACCAGAAGTCTTTTCTAGTTCTCATCACCGAAATGTTCATAAGAAGCTACAACTGCCTCAAGATTTCCTTACCAATAGAGAGGATCTAAGTAAGTCAAATGCTGGTGAGGAGTCTTCTTCTGGAGAAAGTCAAATGAATGCAATATCTCCTGACAACGCTTTTAAATTTGGGGAGGTTTATCATGATGAAGAAGAAAATATTCAAGTGTATGATGCAGAAGAGGGCTGTGTCCTTGTTGACACGGAGAAGAAACTGAGTGGAACTTGTGATACTTCTGCATCACATGTAATTGTGGAGAAGCCAGAAATCTTCTGCAGGTTAGGTGTACAACATGAAATTGTAAATGAAAAGGGAGGTGCCTCCGTAAACTGTGTGATGGAAGCAGAGGAGGAAGTGGCTCATCGAGATGAACCTTCTGAATATGTAAGGGGAAATGATAAGCAGGAATCCTGTTATCAACAAACTGAATGTAAACTAGAAGACACGATTTCAGATAGTTATTGTCCAGAGAGCATAAAATTGGATGGGGCTGAAGGGTCATGCATGCCAAAGGAAAATATATTGATGAATAAAGTGGCTCAAAAGGATAATATGGTCAAATTGAACTCGTCTGTGGAAAATAGTGTAGATCAAGAAACTCAGCTGGAGCTTCAGCAGAATGAGAAGAAACAGAATGTGGATCAATCGTCACCAGTGGTGGAGGATTCTGTAGAGCGAGAAGCTTTGGGAGATGAGCACATAAAGAGTGAAAATGAAAAGTATGAAGAAGACAGTGGGGTGCTCGGTGCAGAGAGAGCACACATCCAAGTTGATCCTGCTCAAGAAGTCCTTCAGAGGGCTGAATACAAGAATATAGGAGATGTCCAAGAAGGATCTAGGGTTGAAAATGAGAATCTAGGAGATGCAGAAGTCTGCCAGAAGCCATGGAGTTCATCTCATGATCCTGTAGAAACTCTGCAAACTGTAGTGGCGGAGAACTCTAATTCTGATATGCAGAAAAGAGAAAAAATGGCAAATGAACAAACAAAACAAAGAGAAAGAGAACATGAGAAAGAACAAGCAAGAAAATTAGAGGAAGAGAAAGAAAGGGAAAGGGAAAGATTGCTTTCGAAAGGGCGACACGTGAAACACATGAACGAGCCCGGGAGTGGGCAGAAAGGATTGCTGTGGAGAGGGTTACTACTGAAGCTCGACAAAGAGCAATTGCAGAAACAAGGGTAAAAGCAGAGAAAGCTTCTGCTGAAGCTTTGGAGAAATCATTAGTTGAAAAAGCATTAAAGGAGGCTAAATTGAGGGCAGAGCGTGCAGCAGTTGAGCGAGCAACAGCAGAGGCTCGAGAGCGTGCTGTAGAAAAAGCACTTGCTGAGAGAGCTGCTGCTGATGCACGCCAACGTGCAGAGAGACTCAATCCTACTTCTCGAGACAAGAGCATGAAACACAATGAAACTGGTGACTATTTCAAGGTAAGTGATAAGGCAGATAATGGGATAAGGCTAAAGACCAATTCTTCTGTAAGTGATAAAACATAACTGTAGTTACATATAGCGACTTCTTAACTCTCTGCACTTTGTGCTCATACATAATGATGCATCCTGCAGGATGTTCTACGTGATGTAAGATTGCAGACTGCAGGACCTTCCTGCAGCTCAAAAAAGTGTTCAGATTCTTCTGCTCATGGTATATTTGATTTGCTATTTATTTTTTTATATTTTTAGGCAAGTCACGGATGCACTATTAAATCTTGTAAGAGAATTCATGAATGTTCTCATAACTCTTTTCTTTTTTACTATTTGAAACTAAAGGCAATCAGTTTTATGTAGGTGAAGTTGAGTCTCCTTTAAGGTGTAAAGCAAGGCTGGAGAGGCATCAGCGGACTGTCGAGCGTGCGGTATTCCTTAACTTCCTTAACTCTACATGCTTTATATGTTTGTAGGAGTTTTTTTAATACTAGTTTTGGGTGAATTGCTCGTTTAGAACTTTTCTAATCACTTGCAGTTTCCTTTCAGGCAAAAGCTCTTGCAGAAAAGAATTTGCGCGATGTGCTAGCTCAAAGAGAGCAAGCAGAGAGAAACGTAAGATAATTTTGTTATAGAAATGTAAAATATACGTAACTCTCCTTCTCTTATCCTGATCAACCTGTGGTTGCAGAGGTTGGCAGAATCATTGGATGCTGATGTAAAGAGGTGGTCCACTGGGAAAGAAGGGAATCTGAGAGCATTGCTATCGACTTTGCAATACGTATTCATTTTTTCTTTCCTTTTCAACTTAATTAGGTTTAAGTTAAGTTATTCTGGTCCCTTGCTTTATATTAGTGTTTACTTCAATTATTTAATGATAAAGTGAGTCAAACAATTTTATCCCTTGTGTAAACCAAAGGCCTTCACCCATGTTCTCTGTTGGAACTTTTGGGGTTTAGTTGAATAGAAAAGCCAGCTTGTTGTATGCTAAAATTGCCTGACACTGACGTGTGGATTGTTTATTCTCTGATGTGACTTCTAACAAGTTTGGTGCATTCTTAGCTTATGGAATTGACCTATTTGTTTGTTAATACTTAATGTGTGATCTAACTGTTTCTTAATGTTTTAGTGTAATTGACCCACCTGTGTTAAACGTAAAGGGTTTCTTTTTTATGTTTAACAAATTTATTCATTGATATAATGCTTTCAAACCAAATTATTAAGATATAAGAAAAATCATATTATGATTGAGTGTCTACACTTGTACGCGAAATACTTTTACATTTCTATCTTGTATGTTAAATTTCAGTCAGTAAACCTTGAAATGAAAGTTATACAGTGTTATCTAGGTTAACTTTTTTTCTTTAGCCACACATGCTTGGTCATGTCGATTAGCCATTGTTTTAAATTGCTTCATACATTCAGAATTCAGTTCCTTATTCATTTTTATCGATGTATATTCCGTCAACTCTTCACTTGCTATGTTCTATTAACTTATGATAAAAACTGGATTTAGGGCTTGCAAAGATTTTCCTTTTTTCTCTTTTTAGGCAACTTATTGCAATTTGCGTCTGGGTGCATAAATGTCAATGAGATGATAGTTATAACTGTAAGAACTCATGAGCATATATTGCTGACAACTTTCCATTTTTAATGTAATTGGCAGATCCTTGGCCCTGAAAGTGGTTGGCAGCCAGTACCTTTAACGGATGTTATTACTGCCGTTGCTGTTAAAAAAGCTTATAGGAAGGCTACTCTGTGTGTGCATCCTGACAAATTGCAGCAAAGAGGTGCTAGCATTCAACAGAAGTACATCTGCGAGAAAGTGTTTGATCTTCTTAAGGTATGTTTTCATTTATATTACCAACACAGCTACACTGGACTATTATGTAAAGGTATTTTTTGTCAAATTTAATTTAATTACATTTCTTGTTACATGAAATCCTTTGCAAATGGGATTAATAATTAACATCAAATTTCAGAGGGGGTAAATATGATGCTAGAGTGCACTTGTGTAAGAAGTTTATTTTTGAGATATAAGGGAGTACTGGTGTTTTCTTTTTTGTATAGATCTATCCTTCTGTGTTGGTGAAAATAATGGCTATTTAAAAGTTAAACAAAAACGTTTGGATTTCTCCTTACATCTAGATGATAAGTTGATGGATTGACAAGGACAAGGGGTAGATCCAATGTAATACAGAGTGAGAGGTAACAAAGAATTTCATACCTGTTTCATTAATTAGATGTCCGTTAACAAAGGTGAATGGAGAGAATGAATTCATCTAGCTGATCAAATATTTGGGGTCAAGGTCTTTTGTTGTATAATCCGTACCTTTAACGTGGTAATATAAGCATCAATAGTTTCTTAGTGAGATTTGATGTTGGTACCTTTGGAGCACAAAGTTCCCCTATAGAAACTGGAATGCAAAATATAGTTCTCAAAGTGATAGTAGTTAAGTAATTGAGTTCGTAAGAAGTTAGTAAATATCATATATTTAAGACAGGGAAGATAAGTGAGAATTACTAGAAGATGTTCAATGTATTATTTATTTAGCTACCAAAGTGATACCTGAGATACTCGTTCTGTAGAATAATATGTTCTCATATTGAAAAATATTAATTCATTGCCTCGTACTCTTAGCATAAGCCACGTAATTTTGGAGACTGATTGAAATATGAATGAAACTGTATAACTTTCTTTTGCAAGGATTGAGTTATAAACCTTCATATTTTTGTTTCATTTAGATATTATCCCACCATAAGCCTGTCCAGTACGCATGGCAAGGATCTCTTTGTAGGACTGTTCAATCCCTGTACAAAAAAAATTTAATAGCTAAACATGATAATATGTGAAACTTTTTTCATGATTCATTGCTAGCTAAACATCACATAACAAGACTTTCGAAATGAAATTTCAAATTAGAATATAGTGGTTACAACAATTTTATTCTCACTCATCAACAACACAAAATATATCTTTTTAATATAAGGCACCAATCATTATATACTTATTTACCGTTCTATTTCAAAGGTCAGTTTAAATAATTTTCATTGTCAAAAATGCTCTTTCAACATTTGCCATTGTAACCGGCAAGATTTGTGTCAACTTCACCAATTTGGACACCTAAAGATATAAGATCCGTCCAACAAATTTCTTAGCAAGTTTACTGATCCCTTGAATTTCAACAGAAATCATGATGAGTAGCTACATAATAGATGTAGTTATCAAGTTGATCGTAAGAAAAAAAAAACTCAGGAGAGTTCATGTTCACTACAAGAAACTTACGATAGTTTCACTTTTAGTGCAAAGACTTTTATACTTTCGCCCCCATCATCTAAACTATGGTTTAGATAATTGGTTAATCCCCCAATTTCATGCAAAGGCTTTCACTATAACTCTCTTATTTTTGATTGGCCAAGGTGGGGCCAAGGCCCCCTTGGCCCCCACCTGGGTCCTCCCCTGTGTGCAAACAGTTACTGAAAATACAAACAGTTACTGGAAATTGTTTGTAAGCTCCTCATGACGTGCAATGTGATTCAGAGGCTTTTTTGGGTCTTTGAGGCAACATTATGCCTGCCAAGGAACAAGAACCGTAAGTCCAGATCATAAGTTTATATGAGGAAAACAAAGCCGAACCATGGGGATGCATTGATAACTAAAAATATAGTTCATCTAATTTTCTATATCACAGGGGGATGGTGAAAGGGCTAATATGACTATGCAACAATGTGATCCTTAAGAATATCAATAGGCCATGTGAAAGTAGTTTCGAGAAGGAGGTTAGCGGTTCATTTTTGTTTAATCAACAGAAGGTGCCTGAAAGAGGTTATAATGATGGACAACAATGTTGTCTGATGGATTGGGTAGTGAAATGGAAAAAGCTCTACACGAGGCATTTTGCCCCTTTCTTTACCATTCGTCTTTTGGAAAGTCTTCCATATTTTCTCTAGTCTGCCAGGTGTCAAATCTCTAGCCTCCCAGTTGGCAGTCAAAAAATTATTGTACCTCCAGCAGGTTTTCTTCTTTGTTATTTCTTTTTTAGAAAGATTTCACTTCCACATCATACTTGTATTTACCTAGAATAATTTTTCAAAACAGGCTGATTTAACTTTTTATTTTTCAAAATCGACCGTTTATTTTTTTATTTATCAAAATCGACCCGGTTTTGTGATTAGCAGGTTAATCACTATCCTAAATAGTCGGGGTTGCCAACCCCGACTATTTAGGAGGGTGTTAAACCCTAATTAACGGCCTTAAACCCTAAAAATTAATGTCCTAATTAGTCGGGGTTGGCAACCCCGACTATTTAGGATAGTGATTAGCCTGCTAATCACAAAACCGGGTCGATTTTGATAAATAAAAAAAACGGTCGATTTTGAAAAATAAAAAACTAAATCGGCCTATTTTGAAAAATTGTTCATTTACCTATGCAATTAATCATGATCGTGTTAGATTCTACAGAAAATAAAAAGAGCTTATTGTCTATAGATAAGCTATGAAGCACCGACTCTCCAAATCTGCCGCCGAGTCCGTCTCCGACGCGTGTCGGACGCGGACACGCGTTCGACACGCGTTCGACACGCGTCGGACACGTGGTCAACACCCTCGACACGGTGAACGCCGTCGACACGCCGTCAACACGCCGTCGACACGCCATTTTTTCTGATTCTTTCTCGACACGCCGACTGAGGGTTACGAAGCGATTATTGGGTTTGAAAACCCACTGTTTGTGAACCCGTTTCGAAATAAAACCTAAAAGCAAAGACCGATACCTCTCTTTTCTCTCATCCGGCGAGTGGCGGCTGCTTCTCTCTCTCCCTCTCTTCTCTCATCCTAGGGCATCAGTTGTTTCCCCCATCTCAACCGCGGCGGCGAATCGGAGACCACCCAGAGGCGGCGAGTCGGCGACCACCCAGAGGCATCGGCTGTTTGTAAGTTTTTTGACCTTTTTTTGTTTTCTTTTTTTTCGGCTGCTTTTCTCTCTCCCTCTCTTCTCTCTCTCACATCTCCTCTTCCCCTGGTTTCTCTCTCTCTCAGAGGCATCGGTTCTTTTTTGTTTTCTTTTTATTTCTTCATTGTTTCTGCTCTATTAATGGAGCCAGTTCATATTTTGAGTTCCCATGCAAAGAATAAATGTGTGAGTGACCTTTTTTCTTGGTTTTCTTTTTTTTTCTTCATTTTTTCTGCTGTATTAATGGATCCAGCTCATGTTTTGAGTTCCCATACAAAGAATAAATGTGAGTTTTTGACCTTTTTTCTCGGTTTTCTTTTTTTCTTCTTCATTTTTTCTGCTGTATTAATGGAATCAGCTCATATTTTAAGTTCCCATACAAAGAATAAATGTTATTAAGACTGGACTTGTTCACATATGCATGCTCTTTTTTTATTAGACCATTTTCTACAATGTAAACTAATATAAAACTAACTGTTATTAAGTCTGTGCGTCTAGAATTTTTTTTTGATCAATGCAAACTAATAAATGTTATGAATGCCTCTTTTTGGTTTTAATATTGGTTGTTGACAAGTCAAATCTTTGAGTTGGTTAGTATGTGTGACTGGACAAAAGAGGCATTTTCTATTGTACATAGTAGTGTTAAAGGCAAAGCAAACCTATTGATTGGGCAGTTTATGTCTTGAAAGCATGACCGATCATATTAGGCTATGAATTAGCAGGAACGTATGATTTGCTTTGTGGAATTTCACTCATTCCCAAAGCATGATAGGAATTTAATTCAATATTAATCTATATATAATAATAATATTAAAAAAATTTAGCCGTGTCGTCGTGTCCTATTTTTTTGGGTTTTGCCGTGTCCGTGTCAGTGTCTGTGTCGTGTCTGTGTCGCCGTGTCCGTGTCCGTGCTTCATAGTAGATAAGTAACCAAACCTAAATAGCGTTGTGGTGCAATTTTAAATCACAAAATCGTACACAGGAGATTCTTGTTCTCCAAGCAGATGGGATACAACATGATCAATATCTGAAAATTTGGCTGAAGCTGAATTTTTTTCTCTCGTTTACTTTTTTCTCTTACTTTACACAGGATATGATATGTAGGACACTTCTCCCAATAAAAGAATGGGCATGTCCGACACATTTGACATGATATGTGTTCGACACTTCCGAACTTCTAGTTGCAGTAGCAATTAAATATAATGGAGTATGTTGTCCCCTTTATGTGAAAGCTGATTATTTTATAGATATTATACTAAAATTAGGTTCTTCTATTTATACAGGTATTTATAGGAGTCGAACATACATACATTCATATGAAAGTTATACTTATAGTCATGCGTTTTTTCTACATTTCAGAAAATTTCCGTGTCCAACATCCAGTGTCTGTGTTGGATTACAACACTCGTGTCGTTGTCTACAGACCGTTGAGTTACATGGATTTTTTTTCCTTCAAATATTTTCTCAAAGAAACTATTTGTTATTTTACTTACGTGACAACTTCACATTTATTGATAAATTTGCTTATGGAAAATTAATTTTTATACTTACTTTTTCAAGGCATACTATAATAAAAACTGTATGATTTATTCCAAAAGTTACATGCAGAATACATTGAAGCGTAAATTTGTTTGACATTATCTGTTGTGTTTAAAACTTGAATGCAATATTCTCCTCTTTTTTGTTTAATAGGATATAGAAGTAATACCTAGAAGCTGCAAATTCTGGGAGCACAAACATCTTTTTCATTTCATGTTAATTCTTTTCTCATGATTTTACTGGAACTGGTAATGGATTTGGAAAAATTATCATTCGATCAAAGTTGGTAATTATAATTTCAATCTGCTGCTGATGCAGGACGCTTGGAACAGATTCAATTCGGAAGAAAGATAACAGATAACGTATAACATGGATGTTAATTACCATCTGGTATGCGTTATGATTTTAAACTGATCATGTTTAATTGTGCCTTTATAATAACTATTCTTTTGCAAATCTGTAAATGTAATATTCAATTCTTCCATTTGGGAGCACCAATTAGTAATGGTCTGAGAATCAAACTAGGAGGCCTGTGGAATGAGTATAGAGTTTCTTTTCAAGCAAAGACAGGTCAAAGTAAGTTTCCGTCATTTCATTTGTCATGCATCTGAAATTTAATAACAAAAATACATATTCATAATGTTGGATAATACTTAAATAACAAAATTTTCATAGACAATAGGATTTAGCAAACTCCAGTCTGTATATATTGCATACAGAACCTCGTGAAAGATCCTCCACATTCATCCTTTTATTTAAATAAACATAAGAACAAAATCCACACATAAATAAATTCACAATCCACACAATAGTAACTCCTCTGGAATTAAACAGAAACTATATTGTCGCCATAAAGTAATTCTATGGCTCTTTAAATCCCTAGTGTGTAGCAATAGGAACTTTCTCCTCTGTTCCAGTCACAATAGGTTTACTCACTTAAGTTGCTCTCCAGTCACTTCCAGTTTGCCATTTCCAGGGAGTGCCTCTGCTGTCTTCATGGGAATGAGATTCTTCTTTATGCATGACTTGATTGCTTCATCAAACATTTCCTTCATACTGTACTTGTACTTGAAACCGAGTTGTAAGAGCTTCTTCGAAGAGAAGTGCACTGGTTGAATTTTATCTTCAATGCCTTCAATCCTACATCATAATTTGTGTAAATATATTCATTTCTCCCTCTTATGAAAATTTGAACGTTCTGAGTTATAGTTAGGGTTCTTACTTTTGGGGGATGTGATATTGTGGATAATTATCTCTGATGATCTTTGCTAGATCATGAATAGTGGCATCATGGGAAGAGCATATGTATCTCCCTTTTGCTCTGGGATGGTTCAGGAGGAAAATGTGAGCATCGCATAAGTCATCCAAGTGAACAAGCTGGATTTGCTTAATTATTGAATAGTGGGCTTCATTTCCTGCCATACATCCATTGTATAAGCAATCAGTGAGGATATGTTTAGCTCTTAGTATATTAGGAAGAAGAAAAGGACTATTGGTGGAGATCAAGGATAATACCTGTTATCAATGATAATGCAGTGACCATACTCGGTGGCATAGTTGAGGAGATGAAAGGACCCACCACCAATGTTGGTATGATGGTGACTAGATCAATGTCGTTCTCTCTTGCGTAATCCCATGCAGCTTTCTCTGCGAGAGTTTTTGACACAAAATACATCTGCAGAGCAAGATTGTAGGCTTTATGAGAAACAGCATAATTGTAGGGCGTAAAGGAGTGTTTATTAGAAAGCATACCCATCCTGTCATCTTGATGTTCCTGCAGAACTCGATATCACTCCATGTGTTCTCATCGTACTCTGGTTTCTGATGTTCTTCCACATTAACGGTTCCGGCAGATGACGTGAAGATGACACGTTGCACTGTACCGGCTCTCTTGCATGATCTCATGATGCCTAACACTCCCTTTACTGCAGGCTTTATCACTTCACTCTGCATTCATGATCTCAAAATGCGTTACATGTGTGTCTAGCCTTCAAAATGGTGAAATATGGGAAGGGATTATAGAGTTAGTGAGCACCATGCACTTATGGAAATGAGCTTCAATACCATGATAATTTATCACTTGTTAAGTATATTTTTATACAGGGCTAATTATGGATTCATCTATATACTAAAGGAATTTAGCAACTATTCACCGCTTAAAAATTTTGTTAGCATTTTGATCCCCCTTATTGCGAAATAGAGTTATCTGCCTACTATCTCTAGTTGTCACGTGAGTAGGGGTGCTAAACCGTATCCATATTCGAGGAAATATTCGTAACCGTATCTGTTAGGATACAGATGTGGTTATTCAAATCTATAACCGATAGGATATGGTTACAGATATGTTTTTGTAGTGAAATATCTGTATCCGTATCCAAAACATCTGAATACATATTAGTCATACTCTTACGACAGTTTCGATTCATAGATTATGGATTTGTGATTAATTTTGATGATCAAGATGTTTAATCTTAGCTTTTCAGTTATAAGAAACATATTAACGACTTCTTTTGTATCACATGAACTATGTTTTTCTCAATACTATCTAGTTTTCTCATATCCGTTTTGTATCCGCATGCATATCCGCTTATATATCCGCATTTATATCTTTAACCGTATCCGATTTTATTAGCGGATATGGATATGAATTTTCCTTACTGAGATGCATCCGTATCTGTAACTGAGATGGGTAAGCGGATATGGATATGGTAAGCATCATATCCGAGCTGTATCCTGAACGAATGCACCCCTACACGTGAGTCTCATGTAACATCAGTAGGCTGCAAAGAGATTCTGTTGATATATTGATACATTATGAAGAGACCTCTTATTCTATTGTAGACGTGAGTCTCATGTAACATCAGTAGGTTGCAAAGAGATCTGCTGATATATTGACACATTATAAAGAGACCCTCTTGTTCTATCGTAGGTGTTGAACATACACGCTACACATTGGAGGGAATGACGTTTGCACATCAGCTGGGTTTAAGTTTTGATAATCATTAATTTAGAGACAATGAGTGGGTAACCCCCATACTGAAGAGGGCTTGTATGCAATCAACCATTTCATGTGATGGTTCTTAAAAGTTGAATGATAGTGAAATCTAAAGTTTATTATCAACTTAAAATCATCAGTTTATACTTAAGATTTGGAAGGATATGGCATGAGCATAACCACTCTGCCAGACTGCTGCTAAATTCAAGCAAGCCATATATGACTTTTTCCTGAAATATTCCTGAGATGGAACAAATGAAGAACATTCATTTGTATGACCTAAACTAGACATAATCTAATGTCTTAAAACTCAATACGGATTCAATTTCGTACATTGCTTGACATATATTTGCAGAGTAATTAGAAATTAGGGCTACATTTTAAAATTAAATCCCAGGAGACAAAATACATATTTGAAAAAGGAACATTGTAAAAGTTTGCAACTTACTTCTGGGTCCTTGGACTCAAAATCCATAGGAGTGGCAACATGGAACACTCCGGTGCATCCACTGATGGCAGCATCAAAGCTCCCTTCATCATTTAAATCTGCTTTCCATAGGCTAAGATTTGCTTCTGCTCCTGGAAGGTCCAACAATGGCTTCACCTTCTTCATGTTTGCTGCAAAAACCAGCCTACAACTTTTAGTTTAAAAGTCTCAGATTGAAGATCAAAGCATGACCTTTACTCTTAAAGACCACAGAGCTATTGCAGATATATCCTCTTGTACTAACTATTATGTGGATGCTTAGCCGCTTAAACCTCCTCATGTCTAAATAGGGTTATATTATTGTTGTCTGGAGTAAAACTCTTGTGTACACTTAAGCGGATAGTAACAATATTAGTCCACCAACTTCTTTATCCATTATATTTGCTTTGAGATTTGTGTTGTGATGTGGTACATATCAAGACACACATCTCAAAGATATTATCTATAACATAAAAGGAGGGCAAATATTATGTTTAGTACCCACAAGAGACTGGGGGTTCTTTTCACAATACATTGATGTCAGAAATATCTTCATATGGACATCAAGGGGTGTGATCGCGAATTAAAAAAAATTAGTAATAATAAGCGGCCAAGTCCTATAGCATGAACAGTGTATTTGCCCCGTTAATCCTTAATTATACAACATTTTAAAGAGAGATTAATATACTTGGGTCTCTAACGGTGGCCCTGACAGTATAGCCTTGTTGAAGGAGCTTCATCACCAGCCACGAACCAACGTAACCACCGGCTCCGGTAACTACCACCGGTCCCTTCACCTTCGCCTTCATCATCGTCATCTCTCTCCCCCCCACTCTTCGTTATCACAATATATTATATAATGCTGAGAAAAAAATATTTCCCAACTAGTTCACTCAAATTAAATATTAGCTGAGACGAGTAGATAACAAGTAGAGATGTTATTCCGATGGAGAATCGTCTATCTTATAAAACATTCTCACAGAGAAAGACAGGTTTCTGTACTTAGATAATACTAGTTTGGCCGAATTCAGACTGTGATTTTGAGCACCCGCTGTCCCTCTCCATCTAACCTTCCAATGAGTTGGAGGGAACGTGCCATATCCACCATTCAAGCTACCCTAATATCTTTGTTATTTCAGTTTCTATATTGTTTTATTATTGATTTTTTTGGTGATTAATAGCATGTTTAAACAATTACATGAAAACAACTACAATGCGTACACCTTGGTTTATTCCACATGCTTCGCACATAAATTCCTTAATTTATTTGCGATGTATCTGCAAACTTTATGTTTGTTTGCAATTCAATTGCCAGAAAAATATGGATATAAATTGTATAGACGGGTCATCTGTGAAATTTTCTAGATTGTGTATTATAGGTAGACGTACATGTTAGTTTGGCAAAATAAAAGTAGTTGATAATAATATGAGCCAACATGATTATGAGATGAAAAGTACATTTTTTTTTATTTCTTCCTTTTTTAAATACAAGGTTATGGTTACATGAGGACCGGTAGCTGAGGAAGCCTGGTAGTGACCAGCAGCCGGTTGGAATGTCTGTTGGCATACGATTCTATCCAATGCTAAACGAAAACGCATGGTTGGCTGGTTATCGCTCGGTGACAAATTTTGGCTTGTCATCTCTGATGAAGAGTAAGGTTGCAACTGTATAAAAGCTGCTGCTGGTTGTCATGTGATCATTGATGGCGCGTTAATGTAATTTGCTTGTTGTATGATTAATATAGCACGTTTATCTCCTCTTTGTCACTAAGTCAGATCTATACGACCGATAAATGTGAGTTAAAAAGCCACAAAGTTCAAGTATCAGTCGAGAAACAATAGTCGTACTAACATGATGAGCTGGAGTATTTTGCTTTTGGTTAAAAGGCCAAATTGGACGCCTTATTGGGCGTAATTTTCTTAAATTGACGTTCGTACAGTTGGATGTATTGTTCATGAAAAGGCAATATTGCCTTTGTGAATAATCCCACATTGAAAATTGAGATGAATAGTAAGGGGTTTATATTGGAACACCTCTTATCGGGTTTTGAATAGTATTTTGGGTTTTGTGGGCTTTGCATAATACATGCGCTTGCGCACGCCGCTACGCGCCACCCCACATATTTTTGAATCTTCTAGGACATTGAAATCACGACTGCTCCCATTCAGGTCTGATTTTCTGACCTTTTATTTTCGGATTATATACTAATATTCTTCATTTTTGACAGCAATCTAGAAGATTGAGATTTTAATTTATGTTAATTGTTAATGCTAATTTTTTTTTCTGTTCATCGTTTTTACTGTTCGCTAGGGAAAAATTTCTGATTGTTAAAACATTTTATTACTGTTCATCTAATCCACTTGCTTTCATTATCTTTTGGTTTATCTAGCAATTAATAGTATTAATTAGCTGCTGTTTTATTTTATTTAAAAAAGTACTGTTCACGGGGGGAAAATATTTTACTGTTCACAGGAAAAGAAATATATAGTATTGCTCTAATTAATTGATTACTTTTGTTTGTTAGTTGCCTTTTAACTAGAAATTAATCAAAAATCATTTATCGTCTAATTTGTTTAATGCATTAGAATTTTAATATTCTTTTCAATTGTTAATCAAAGTCATACTTCTTAGTATCTAGTAGTATTGACAAAACCATTCTCCCATTCAGATTCCAAATACCTACACTAGTAAACTCAAATTGGACTTTATGGCTAACTATGATCATTTCAAGAGTGTCAAACATGAGAAGTTCACCGATGTTAACTATAAACGTTGGGCTAATCAGATGATATACTGGCTCACCACCTTAGGTCTTCTATCTGCCATAGAAACTCCCGAGTCTTCATCCCGTGGATCTCAACCCTCCAACTCTCCTGTTTATGGTCCTCAACTTGAACCCTCTCCTTCCACTTGTAGTGCTAGCTTCTTTTTTTAGCTCTATGAAACCAGAAGAAATCAACTATCATTATTATCATAGGATTCTTAATGCACTTGTAGACAATTTCTATGACATATATTATGAGTTTAAAAGTGCTAAAGACCTATGGAATGCTCTTGAAGTAGAATATGACTATGATGATGTCAAAATTTTGCATTTCACTTCATCCTTTAATAAGTTCATGATGGTTGATGACAAACCCATTAATGAACAAATTCATGAGTTCCAAGATTTTCTCCGTCACCTCCAATCAAAGGGAAATACTTTTACTGATGACTGTAAAGTTTCCTATTTGATTGATAAACTCCCTCCATCCTGGTCTAGATTTGTTGAAGATCTCCGGCACAAGCAAGGAGATATAACATTGACTGATGCCTTCAAAGCTATTCGTATTGAAGACCAGCATAGGCAAAATTCCAAAACCAAGACTGAATCAAAAGCTAAAGTGAACTTGGTAGAAGATAAACCTAAATCTAAGAATTTCAAACCCAAAGGGAAGAAATTCAAGAAAAACCAGCAATCCTTTAACAAATCTTCTTCCAAATCCAATCCCAACTCTTCCAGCCATAAGTCTGATGGAAAGATCTGCTATGTCTGTGGTAGAACCAATCACCTGGCTCCTAACTGTTTCTTTCGGAAGAAGGAACCGGTCAAACCTGCTCCTAAAGAAAATTGATCCAACAAAGTTAATATAATTGAAGAGAATCCAACTTCCTTCAGGTTAGCCTCTTCATCTTATCTTATTAATTCCCTTACTTCTTCCACTAACCAATACTTAGATTCCAGAGCTAATATTCATGTTTATAATCATCGCTCTTGGTTTTTAACTTATCAGGAATCATGTGGAGGAAACATAAGCTTAGCATATGACTCCACCAAACAAATAATGAGAAGTGGACGTATAGTGCTCACCATGACTTCTGGGAAAGTTCTGAATCTACATGGCATTCATCATGTTCCTTCTCTCCATTGCAACTTGATCAGTGAATCTCTTCTTCTTAGAGTTGGCTTTAGGATTGTAAAGGATTCAAATAAATTTGTGATTACCAAGAATAATGTATTCATTGGAAAAAGTTGTATCTATAATGGTATTTTCAAACTCAATGTAATCAATTCCAATTCTAATGAAATTCCTGAGTCTTTTGTTGCACAAATTGTTGAGTCTTGTGATGTTTGGCATGGACGACTTGGACATGTCAATTTCCAAACCTTGCAGAGAATGATTAAATTGAACCTTATTCCCAAATCTTCTCTTGATCACTCATCTAAGTGTGAAATTTGTGTTCAAAGGAAACACACTAAAAAACCCTTCTAGTCTATAATTAGAAATTCTGAACCTCTCGAATTAATTTATAGTGATGTGTGTGACTCGAACCGAATTCTCACCCGAGGGGGAAGGAGATATTTTGTGACATTTATAAACGATCACTCCAGATATTGTTACACCTATCTTCTCAGAACTAAAGATGAAGTCATAGATAGGTTTAAGGTGTACAAAGATGAATCTGAGAACCAACTTGACAGAAAGATCAATATTCTAAGATCTGATGGGGAGTATACCTCAAATGATATGACTGAATTTTGCCAAGAAAATAGTATTATTCATGAGGTTACTGCTCCTTATACACCATAGTCTAACGGGGTAGCTGAATGAAAGAACATAACCCTAATAGATATGGTAATTTGTATGTTACTCAGTTCAGGAGCACCTAAAAATATCTGGGATGAAGTTCTTCTTTCTGCTAGCTTCATTCTCAATAGGATTCCCCACAAAACTTCTAATATAACTCTTTATGAATATTGGAAGGGGAGATCTCCTAGGTTGAACTTCTTCCAGGTTTGGGGTTGCTTAGCTAAGGTAGCTATTCCCGAACCTAAGAAGAGAAAAATTGGTTCTAAGACTGTTGATACTGTTTTTATTGGATATGCACTAGATAGCAATGTTAATAGGTTTCTAGTCATTAACTCTGAAATCAGTAACATATCCAACAACACAATCATTGAAGCTAGATATGCAGTCTATTTTAAAAACCTCTTTCCTTTCAAATCCAAAATCTCAGAAAATCCTAGTTCATCTCTTCCTTCTGATCTACCATCTTCTAGTTCTTCTCATCCTCTTGATATTGAACCTCGAAGAAGTAAAAGTGGTAGAATTCAAAAGGATTTTGGAGAAGATTTCTTTACTTTTCTTGTTAAAGGTGATCCAAGCTCATTCCAAGAAGCAATGGATTCACCTGAATCTCCTTTCTAGAAAAAAGCCATTGATAATGTGATTAAATCTATAATAGAAAATCATACTTGGATACTCACCGACTTACCTCCAGGTTGTAAACCTGTTGATTGTAAGTGGATATTCAAGAAGAACCGACTTACCTCCAGGTTGTAAACCTGTTGATTGTAAGTGGATATTCAAGAAGAAACTTAGAGCTGATGGTTCCATAGATAAATTTAAAGCTAGATTAGAAGAAACTTAGAGCTGATGGTTCCATAGATAAATTTAAAGCTAGATTAGTAGCTAAAGGCTATACTCTGTAAAATAACATTGATTATTTTTATACCTATTCTCACGTAGCCCGAATCTTGACTATCCGAGTATTGTTAGCCTTTGTTGCTATCCATAAGTTGATCATGTATCAGATGAATGTCAAGACTGCTTTCCTCAATGGTGATCTAGATGAAGAAATCTATATGTACCAACCTGAAGGCTTCATTGCTAAGGGTCAGGAAAACAAAGTCTGCAAACTTGTTAAATCTTTGTATGGTCTTAAACAAGCTCCAAAATAATTGCACCAGAAATTTGACAGAGTCATTGCACAATATGGTTTCATTGTGAACGAACACGTTAAGTGTGTTTACACTAAAGTGATGAACAATGATTATGTCATCCTCTGTCTCTATGTTGATGATATCCTTATCTTTGGAATAACTCTGGAATTAATTTTAAATATTAAGGATTATCTTTCTAAGAACTTTGACATGAAAGACTTAGGTCTTACGGATATGATACATGGA